AAAAAAAAAAAAAAAAAAGAAAAAGAAAATCCTGGAAATAACCCAAATGTCTACTGGCATATTGAGAATGCATCCATAAACCATGATATATACTCATATACTTTAAAAAAATTTATTAATTGATTTTCAGAAAGAGGGAGGGAGAGAAAAAGAGTAAGAGAGAGAGAGAGAGAGAGAGCCATTGTTTCTTTTTTTTCTTTTAATCCTCATCTGAGGATATTTTTTTCCATTGCTTTTCAGAGAGAGTGGGAGAGAGAGAGAGAAACATTGATGTGAGAGAGACACATCGATTGGTTGCCTCCCACACGCACCCGACCAGGGCCGGGGATCGAGCCTGCAACCGAAGTATGTGCCCTTGGCCAGAATCAAACTGTGGACCCTTCAGTCCAAGGGCCAATACTCTAACCACTGAGCCAAACTGGCTAGGGCCTGTTGTTTCACTTATTTATGCATTCATTGGTTAATCAGGGATTGAACCCACAACCTTGGTGTATGGGGACAACACTCTAACCAACTGAGCTACGTGGCAAAGACATTCATATACTAATGATATATTATAGGATAAAATACGGCAATAAAAAATGAATTATAAATCCTGGTTAGAAAGTCGTCCCAATATGTCAAGGTTGCAGGTTCAATTCCCATTAGGGCACATATGAGAACCAACCAATGGAACAACAAACAAATCGATCTCTCTCTCTCCCTTCTTCGCTCTCTCTAAAATCAATAAATAAAAATTTTTAAAAATGAATAACAAAAAAAAATTTTTAAAAAAATGAATTATAGCCACACACTTCAATGTGGAGGTATCACACAACCAGTGTAGAGAGAAAAAAAGAAAAGCAGGTTGCAGAATTCCACTGGAGACTGCCTGAGACTGTCACCTTATGATTTCCTAGTGACCCCTAGTGACGACCAGAGACCAGACACCAGTATGATTCCATTTCTACGAGGAAAAACTAAACAAGATATTGTATATATCATAAGGTACAAACAAAAGTAAGGGATCGATGAACAGGAAATATGGGATAATGATTATGCAGGAGAGGGGTTTATGTGCGGAGGGGCACCCAGAGGCTTCTAAATATTGGTCTCTATTTCTTAAACTGAGTAGTGGATACTCATGGGGGTTATTTTACCGTTATTCCTTACATTGAACACATATGTTAATTATATTATGCCATATATAAAAATATTTAATAATTTTTGAAATCCTCCATCTCTGAAGAGTTGGAAGAGGATGTGCCCAAGTGCCCTTGGCACCCACCACCCCTCAGCCCCTAAGGAATCACACTCACCAGCAATCACTGCCTCACACACATTCACATGGACTAACAGGCCTTGGGATGTCACATATGCAACCCAACACTGCCACACCCACACAAAAGGAATTGCACACGGTCACGCACCACAATCGCCAAGCTGTCCAGATGCAAGGACACGCACCACCCCTTAAAGACACAATGCAGCAAACAGACATGGCTCCTCTTCCCACAATGACATAGCTGCACAAAGAAACGGGGAGAAACAGCCTCATGAACATACATACAAAATCCTAGTCACTCAGTCCAACAGAACCAAAACGCACACGGGGATACAAAGACCATGCCCCTCCCAAACAAAACCGAAATCACACACACACACACACACACACACACACACACACACACACACACACTGACACGCCCAAAGGTCGTGCAATCGCTATAGGATTCACAAACATGCACAGGGTGTTACTGAGAAAAGACACACAGAAGCACCCCCAGCACCACACACGCACTGCACAACCGGACCCATGACGGTACCTTTGCATGGACCCTCGGAAACGCTCACATCCAAAGACACACACTTACAAGGACTCCGCGTACTTACAAAGACACCACATCCTCACCCCCCCTGTCAGCACATCACGCGGGTACACATACAGATGCACGCACCCCCTTCCTAATTACGCGCTAGTCCCACGGACAGCGCCAACCACGCCACGCGGGGAGGGATGGGCAGGGCGCGGCTGCGGGCCAAGCCCAAGATACTGCCACCCGCACACCCAGAGACCCAGCCTGGCCCCGGGGGGTGCGGGCCTGGCCTGGGCACAAACTGGCGACTGGACCCCACGCCACTCTAGCAGATGTCTCCGCACGTCCGGGGAGCTGGGGCCAGCCCCCGCCCCCCACCCCTTCCCTGACCGGGGTCGCACCTTTACCGGCCCTGCACAGAGAGCGGCGGGCGGCCGAAG